GGGTTTAGTGGTTTGGCCCAGTGGGTTGAAGATTCGGAGAGTCTAAGCCCGAAGTCAGGGGTTCGAACCCCACATCGAGTGTTTCCTTTGGTTTGTTTTGGATTTCTGTATATATATATGTCTTGTATAGTATATATATATTTTTTATTTGTATATTTTGTCACAAGAGTGGCGTGGCTCAGTGGTTGAGGATTCGGAGGCCAGGCCTAAGGTTAGGGGTTCGATCTCCATGTCCATGTATTTTGTTTTTTGTTTTGCTTGTTTTGTGTATGTGTGCTGATGTTAGCGCTGACGTCAGCAAACGGAATATGCCGTCTCAGTAATGGCATCTTCCCGCTGACGGTCGCAAACAGAATATTCTCCACCTGTATATATACTGTATATATCTATGTATAGGTTTGTTATTTGTCTGTGTATATATCCGTATATATCTGTTTATATATCTGTATCTGTTTGTGTATATAAGTCGTATATAGCTGTGCATATATTCGTATTTGTCTGTGTATATATATCATATATAGCTGTGTATATATCCGTATATATCTGTGTATATATCCTCCTCTATTTGTGTATATGTCTGTATATGAATATATATATATCGTATGTACACATATGTGTGTATTTTGTTTATATACACAACCACATCCGCATCGTGCATCTATCGCATGATCACATCCACTCCATGCATCTCCGTGCATTTATCGTACGATCATATCCATTTCGTGCACCTATCGCACGATCACATCCATTCCGTGCATCTATCACACGATCACATCCATTCCATGCATCTATCGCATGATCACATCCATTCCGTGCATTTCGCACGATCACACCCACACCGTGCATCTATCGCACGATCACACCCGCACCGTGCATCTATCGCACGATCACTTCCGCACCTTGCATCTATCGCACAATCAAGCGTCTATCGCACAATCTCAATCCATCGCGCTATTTTGCGCATCGCACCGTCTGGTGCATCTAAAGTTCACATATTCCTCTCGCGTAAGACGCGTTTGGATCTCAAGTTCACATACTCCTCTCGTGTAAGACGTGTTTGGATCTCCGATTCACATACTCCTCTTGCGTAAGACGCATTTGGATCTCAAGTTCACATACTCCTCTCGCATAAGACGAGTTTGGATCTCAAGTTCACATACTCCTCTCGCGTAAGACGAGTTTGGATCTCAAGTTAACATCCTCCTCTCGCATAAGACGCATTTGGATCTTGTCTTCGTAAGAGTACGAGTGATTAGTCACTTTGTGGAAAGATTTCAAAAACTGTTTTTGCATGGTCCTACGAAGACATGCCTGGAATTGATTATACAGCATAGGATCCCTCTTGACTTGAGGTCTGACCTCGTTAGCTCCTTAGCTTTCAAACCATGATTCAAAATAGTCAATGATCAACCAAGTGTAAGGCTTGCATAGCCGAATTGGAAACAACCCTTGAACTAGGGGCAATGATGTGATTCAAATGGAGATAGCCCTTAAACTAGGGGCAATAAGGTCGAATGTGATCCAGATTGGAAATAGCCCTTGAACTAGGGGTAATAATGCGATTCAAATGGAGGCAGCCCTTCCACTAAGGGCAATAAGGTAGTTAAATAGAATTTTATAATTAATTCATTAGTTAATTAGGTCATTAATTAGCATTTTATAATTAACTAATTTGGTCATTAGTTAATTAGATAGTGAATTTGATAATTAGTTAATTTGGTAATTCATTACTTAGTTAGTTCATTAGTTAATTAATTAGAGTTTTATAATTAATTAATTGGTGCAATTAATTAGTCAGTTCCCAATTTGTAATAATTCACTAGACTAGTTAATTAGGTGTGATGTTCTAATAACTAGCTAGTATAGCTAGTTTGTTTTGTAATAATTTAGCTTTAATTAGTTAGCTAGTTAGATCATTCGGATCCTCCTGCGCAAAGGCAAACAAATTTGTAATAATGTGTATGTCTTCCAACCCCACATCTTTCTCCCTTTTATGTACCAGCTTACGATGGTCAGTTTAGGGATATCATGTTTAATTTAGCATACTCATGTTTGCATCCACTTGTATTGCATGCACCGGGGCTCGGTTCATCATCCAATTCGCATTGTCATTTCAATACTTCTCTGATTACATGCTTAGACCGCATGCGATCAATTCCTTTCATATGCCATATTAGTAGCCGAGCCTGGTAATTGCATATCACATGTCTTGCATTTGTCAAATTACATAGTTAGGACTCATGCATATTTTACCAACTTTGTTTTGTAGCTGTTCACGGGACGTCGGTAAATATGTGAGTTGTTATACTTTAGCATCCCGCTTGTACATAATGTTCTCATTCTGTTTAGCATCCTACCATGAGGCTAATTGTTTAAATGATAAACTGTTTGAATGCTTGTGGATGAAGGCTTGTTTCTTAAAGTGGAATGATTCAACAAATGTACGTTTTAAGCCCACTTTGCAGTAGCAAATTCACAAAGTTTAAGCCCAGTTTGTTAAGTGGAAAATTAATCCCACTTTGTTAAGTGGCAAATTCAAACCCTTTTCGAAAAATAAATATGAAATTGAATTGTTCCAATTTGAGCAAACTAGTCTATACCTTGTATGCTTCACATAAGAAATTTTAGGATTTAATTAAATAATCAGAATAAGAACATATATTATACATAAGAATCACATCATAATCAGTAGAGGGCGATCTTTGATCGGGTGAGTGGGGTGCTCATTATTGACCTTCCCCTCTCATACCTAAGTTCCCAAACCAAAACACTTTGGTAACAACGGACTAATGGCCTTTGGCATGAGTCATGGGTTTCTTAAATTTCCCAAAACAAATATTTAGGTTACGACTCTAATATCTGGCAAAGCAGTCCATTTTTTGCATTTGATTCAAACACCGATTTTTCAAAAACAATTGCCGAATTTGGGCTCTTTTTGTGTTTTCACTATTTCACATTGCACTTGTGAAATCAGATTCATAACCAACACAAGTGGAGTCTGAACTGTAAGGGCTATTTCTTTCTTCCGAAAGGGAGCGCGAAAAGCCGAGCTACACCGCACACCAAGGTGAAGTGCATTCCATAGGCTAGTTAATAGTGCTTCGTATTTGGCTTCGTTGTTTGACACATCAAAGCACAATTTAACAGCCTGCTCGATTATTGCCCCTTCGGGAGTCATGATTACTATGCCTGCTCCACTGCCACGTTGGTTGGACGACCCGTTATAGTACATCTGCCAAATGTCTCCAACATATACTCTCCAGTTGGGCTTAGGTTGCACTTGATCAGACTTAAAGTCGTCGAGGGATCCCATGAATTTGGCTACAAAGTCAGCGAGCACTTGCCCCTTGATGGAAATTCTGGGCAAAAATTGGATATCATACTGACCGAGTTCCAGAGCCCATTTCAAAACGCGCCCTGATGCTTCCGCGCTGTGGAGCGCTGAACGGAAGGGATAGTCCATTAGTACCCCGATGGTATGCCCCTAAAAGTAATGCATTAGTTTCCTTGCAGCCATGATGAGAGCAAGGATGAGCGTTTCCAATGAAAGATAACATGTTTCGGCATCCGCCATCGCTTTGCTCACATAATAAACTGGTCGTTGCTCCCCAAGTTCTTCCTTTAACAGTACAACGCTGACCGTCCAGTAGGATACCGCCAGATACAAAATGATCGGATCGCCTGCCAAAGGTGTTGCCAAGAGTGGTATTGATTGGAGAGAAGTCTTCAAGCCGTCCAAAGCAGCCTGGCACTCGGGGGTCCATTCAAAAGCCTTACCTTGCCGAAGTGTGTGAAAGAATTGTTTGCAGCGATCTGTGGAACAGCTAATGAACCTGTTGAGCGCGACAGCCATTCCCATCAGCTTCTGAACCTCTTTGACTGACCGAGGAGAGCCAAGTTCTAGAATTGTTGTGATTTGCCTCGGGTTAGCTTTGATTCTAAGGAATTTTCTGGATTCTACGCCGAATGTACATTTAGAGGCATTCAGCTTCATTTTGTACTTTCGTAGAATGCTGAATATCTCTACCAAATCAGCTAGATGGGTTCGCTTTTACATGGACTTGACCACCATATCGTCGATGTATACTTCCATGGTACGGCCAAGTTGTTTCTTGAACATGGCAGTCACTAGTCTTTGGTAAGTTGCCCTCGCATTTTTCAGCCCAAAGGGCATGACCTTGTAGCAATAGGTTCCGGTTGGGGTAAGGAATGCGGTTTTTTCTTGGTCCTCTGGGTGCATGGCAGTTTGATGGTAGCCCCTGTAGGAGTCTAAGAAGCTCATGCGTTGATGATATGCCGTTGAATCTACGAGTTGGTCTATTCTGGGGAGGGGAAAACAGTCCTTGGGACAAGCTTTGTTCAAGTCTGTGAAATCCACACAAACACGCCAAGATCCATTCTTCTTTTTTACTACCATGATATTGGACAACCATGTAGGATAGGTTACTTCTCGAATTGACCCAGCATCAAGTAATTGGTCACCCTCTTCAACAACGGCCAAAGTATGCTCCGCGGCAGACTGCCGACTTCTCTGGATGACTGGCCTGCATTTTGGATCGATGTTTAAGCGGTGCTGAGCCATAGATGGATCTACCACTGGCATCTCGTACGGTGACCACGCAAACACGTTGAGATTGCCGAGTAAGAAAGAGACGAGCTCATTCCTATCGGCCTCGTTCAAGGAAGCGCCGATCATGAAGAACTTGTCAGGATTCCCATTACTTTTGACCCGATCCAGGGCTGTGGTTGCCTTTTCACTAAGTATCTTCCCAACATCTTCAAGGCTTTCCCGATCAAGTACCTCAATCGAGTTCACCTCCAGCTCTTTTTGTCTTTTTGCGGCCACCAGATAGCATGCCCGTGCCGATTTTTTAGAACCTCGAATCTGCTCAATGTCGTAATCAATTGGGAAGCGAAGTAACTAGTGGTAGGTGCTCGGCATGGCTTGCATGGTATGCAACCAAGTTCTTCCCATGACGAGATTGTATGGCGAAGAAATTTTAACAACCAAGAATTCTACATCTACTGATTTGGTACCTGCTCGAACCGGTAGCGTTGAAGTCGAATAATGGATAATCAGCCGGCGATAGATCTGAGTCAGTGAAGCCAAGCTTGACAAATGTTTTGTAATACATTATTTCCGAAGTACTTCCTTGATCAATGAGAACATGTTCAATGGTGAATCTGTTCACGCGCAGCTTGACTACGAGGGGATCAGTGTGGGGGAGAGTTACTCCAACTAAGTCGGTGTCATCGAAACTAATCCTCCCAGTTTCATGGGGCTGTTTTGCTCGTGTGATCGGCCTAGATTGCACCTGAATCGTATACACCTCGGATGATGTCGGCAAGCTGTATATCATATGAATTACACCAAGTGGAGGCGAATCCGGCCGTGAGGCTACTGCGTTCGATGAACTATTCTTCCGGACGTGTTGCACCAACCGGCTATCTTGCACTAGCTCCTCCAAGTGATCCTTCAGTGCATAACAACTGTCGGTGTCATGACTGTGGTTTTTATGATACTCACACCGTTTATCCCGTCTCCTTGTATCGGGAGGTCCCATCATCTTGGGCGGCCACTTGAAGAATGGAAGGTGTTGGACTTTCAACAAAATCTTACTGATCGGCTCTATTAACTCCGTGTACTTCTTGTCTGAGCGCCGTGTGCACCTATTATCCACTTGATATTGTTCATTCACTCTATGTGGACATTGATCATTTGATTGGAGCGAGTCACGCCTTTTGTCTCGTTTAGTCTGATTCCGCGGCTCAGGGCTTGTTGATGGCACGATGCTAATCTACTGAACAATTCTCGTCTGTAGACGCGCCCTGAGGGCCCCATACTACAGTTCGGACTCAAATTGTCACGATTTTTAATCTGATCTCACAATGTGCGATGTGAGATTGATAAATCACCAAAGAGTCCAAATCTGGCAAATTGTTTTGGAAAACTGATTTTTGTAAAGAAGTGCCAAACATGGACTGCTTTGCCAGATATAGAGTCCCCACCTAAATATTTTATTTTGGGGAAATTTAGGAAATCCTGACTTGTGCCTAAGGCCACATGTCCGTCATCACCAAAGTTGCCTTGACTCAGGAACTTGGATACGATTGGGGAAGGTCATCTATGAGCACCCCCACTCGACCGATCAAAGATCGGCCACTACTAAACATGATATCGAGTTTTTGAAAACACATGCGTTCTTATTCCGGTTAATTAGCTAGAATTACTATGTGATGCGCACAACACACAAGTATAGACCAGATCGCCTAATTCGGAACAAAGCATTGCTCATCCGTTTGTTTGGAAATGGTTTCAGTTTTGCTACTCGCAAGTAGGCTAAATCATGGATTTCAATGAATCGTTCCGATTCAAGTAATCCAACCTTCACCCCCAGGCATTCAGGCAGTTATATCACGTAAGCAAATACCCTCATGGCAAGCATGCTGTCATGTTAACATTCACATACATGTAAGATGCTAAAGCATAAACACTCACAGTGTACTCCGAGCCAAAACAAGAAACTAGTTAGTGATCATGCATGATCCTAGTTCATGTTAACAATGGCTAATGCGGCACATGCAAAGATGCAATTAGAAATAGGCTCGGCTATTCTAAGATGGCATATGAAATGCGACAATTCGATACATGTGTTCAAGTTGGAATTGAAATACTATGCAGTTAGTATGATGCGCCAAGCCCGGTGCATGCGATATAGATGAATGGATGCACGCATGCGAGCATAAAGTATGCTAATCAAAACATGACCTAGAACTAACCATCGTAAGTGGTTAAGTAAAAGGGAGAAAGAAATGGGGGTTGGAAGACATGCATCACGCACACACACATTAATTACAAAATTCGCCCTCTCGACGGAGGGTCCGAATATATAATACAAACCAACTAATTAACTAACTAACAAGTTAATTAATTATTTATATAGCCAAATCGAAATAAATAACTATTCTAAGTTATTAAAACACTGAAATGGCCTCGAGACGTGGGATAAATGCACGCTCGGACGGCTTCGCTCGGAAATCCATCGCCATGCTACATGTTGCCTCTGTCTGCACTGCTCTGCACTTCTGGAAACTGCACAAGTCTCAAGGATGCTCCAGAATCACTCCCTGAGCACTGTGGGATGTCACCGGCCAGGAGGAATGGTCACCGGCCAAGGGAAACTGGTCATCGACCACAAATGGGGCTTTCGGCCAACAATGTATAACCGGCCGACAACGAAGATGGTCGACCGACCATCTATTCCTGCAGAATCCTGTTTTGCTGCAGTAGAGGACAGATAGAGCATGGCAATGCATTTTCAAAGCAATATTTGCATCACCACCCTCCTTATCATGTCATGGACTCAAGAGAGGGTAGTCCTCGACCCTAGAACCATCAATCACGTATTTCAATGCGTGATGTTCAAAGAAGCCAAGTGTGCAACTTCAATATCAAATAAAAATGCACATAAACACATGAGGGGCCCCAGCCTCTATCATGATTGATCAAGAGGCAAGGGATGCATGCATAATGCTATGCAACCTAGGCATGCAAGCAAGCTAATGCAATAGGCATACATCTTGAACAAATAAGCATGCAACGCATATAGCAACAATGCCAATGACAAACATGCAACAACATGTGAGGCAAGCATGTGACAACATGTTAAGAAACCTAAAAAGAGGAGGATGCATGCCAAATGCATTACAACTCAAACATGCAACAACATGCAATAGGCCAAGTATGTAGCAACATGCAAGGCAAGCATGCAACAACATGCAAAGGATGGACTTAAACCAATATGGACAGCGCTCAAATAGGTTCAAATCAGTGGCCGATATGCCAAGGGATAAGGAACAAAATCACATACAAACATGCATGGTAATTGGCCTAACACTTTAGCATAGTAGAGCAACTCTTAAGAACACTTAAACGAGGATAATCATGGGCATGTAATATGCATTGTAAGCTCTGAAAATCATGCAAGGGATGATGTCGTATCAACCAAACCATGCAATTAAGGCATACAATAAAGCCTAAAACTTGAAATTAGCCAAGGGACTCAAACCAAGGCTACATAAAGCAAGCCCCAAAGGGACAAGGGGACCTAAAACAGTCCCAAAGCAGGTCTAAACAAGACCAAAAGTGAGCTTGAAAGTAGCCAACACAAGCTAGAACATGATGCTAAATACATGAGGCATGCAAGGCTACCGAAAAGGTATTACACTACACCTAATACAACCAAACATGGCATGATTTGGGCAACCAAAATTAGAGGTATGACATGTCAAAATGAGCCCAAAAACTCACTTAGATGTCATCCCAAATACCCAAGCATGTTGGCATACGCAATGTCACATTCATGAAGCATAAAACACAAACTCTTTTAAACATTAAAGGAGCAATATGTGCAAGTATTCAAGCATGCTATATGGTCTGAAAAAACATTATAAGTGACTCCAAACCACTGAAATGATTCAAATAGAGCATGCTAATGACTTGAGCTCCTGAAGCTAACAAGTTAGATTACATGGTAGCTATACAAAATAATGCAAGCATGACCAAAACAATGAAAAACAGAGCTTAAACATGCTACAACAAGCCTAAAAGCTTCATGGAGTTGGGCCAAAACATGCAAGCATGGTAGTCTAAATGCTAGGTACATGTTAAGGCAAATCATGGGATTACAAGACAAGTATACAAAGCATGCATGGTATGTTGAAACCAAGGCAAAACAGTGCTATATCATGGCAAAACAAAGCCTAATATATACTGAAATGAAGCTAAAACAAGCTAGGCAAACATGCTACGACATAAGCCATTTATGCAAGCATTCAAGACAACAAGGAGAGGGGATGACCCTCTCCTATTTAAGACACCAAAACTACCTCTCCACCACTGAAAATCCTCTAGATTCTAGTGGTAAAGAGGTCATGCAAAGCTAAGAACAATGGCCAAAATGGATGGCGTAAAACAAGGCCTAACAAGGCCTTGGAGGGGGGAAACAACCCCGAACCTCAAAATGACCTTAAACAAAGATCTAAAGCATACAAAATCAGAACTTTTATCAGTTACAGTCGAAGCTTAAAACAAAAAGCAAGATAGGCTAAAAGCTTGTGCAAAAATGGGGAATAAAGAGGATAGTTTCTCACCCTTGAAGAACCTCTTCAAGAACACCACTCCAGCAGGTCTTCTGAGTTCAAACCAACCCAAGAACCCTAAAATCAGTCTCAAGGGGCCTCAGTTCCAAGGGAATGGTGTAATGCTAGGTGTTTGTGTGCAAAAGTGTGAACTAAACACCCTTTAGAGCACAAAACACACACACAAATGTAAAGAGAGGGAATTCTAGAGATAGATAGATACAAACTCTCTAACCTAAATTCCAGCACCTCTGGAAGGGGAGGGGAGGCTCTCCTCTTATAGGAATTCAATTCCTAAGCTTCTTGAAGAAGCTAACACAAGGGAGCAAATCCCTTCATACCCGTGTATGGAGGGGGTGTAATATTGATGCCAGTTGTGACAGTTGGTATAAAATATCTTCCAAAAGCATATGGAAAGGGGTCGGCTGGAAAATATGGTTGTTTGAACAACAAAAAGGGCCGGCCGACCAAATATAGTGCCGACCGGCCAACACATTTGGCCAATGGCAAGAAAAAAAGGGCCGGTGGCCTCAAGCCTTGGCCGATGGGTTGAGGGGATGGCCAAAAAGCCACCCTATCCCCCCAAAAATAGAAAAACAAGTGCTTGGCCCATAACCAAGCACAAAACAGTCAGGTTGAGAGATCTTGAGGCAAGGCGTGCGGCCGAGAACTCAAAACAAACACAAACATGGATGATCACCGAGTGTTCAAACGGTGACATCCAAGTCTTGAGGACGGTCAAAAATGGGGTGTCGACACTGTCAGAGTCGTCTCAACGGCTTTCTGCCCGACCTTGACCCGCAGGGCATCATCTTTCACTTTGCAATACTCTTCGACTTTTTTCATTAACACCCAAACTATTTTAGGGGGCCTTCTGGTTAATGAACTGTGGAGGGGACTATCAGGATGCAATCCCATCTTAAAGGTGGTGATGGCCATGGAGTCATTACAAGCATCATCTACTAGATTAAAGCATTCCCAATAGCGGGCCGAATATTCACGAAGGGTTTCTTCTGGTTTAATTTGCATGGCCTAGAGAGAATTGGCTTGCTTAGGCTGGATCTCATTAGTGATAAATCTTTCCCTGAATGACTTTTGGAGTTAGTGGAAGCTCTTAATCGATGCCGGCTCCAGTTTATAATACCACCTGACGGCCAGTGGTCCCAAACTGCTTGGAAATATTCGACTCATGAGGGCATTATCGTCAGCATGAAGCGTCATTGCTTGCTTATAATGACGAATGTGATTAGTGGGGTCCGATTTTCGGTCGTAAAGGGTGAATGATGATGCTTTGAACTTTTTGGGTAGCACAGCCCTTGCAATTCGTCGCACAAAAGGGTCATGCTTATCTTCCTCATCCAAATCATCGCTTCTCCCTCATTTATGCCGTACATACGAACTTCCTTCAGATGAGTTGGATGCA